TGTATATATGTAAATTGTGATTTCTTTAACTTTTATGATAACACTGTGTAACAAAAAAATGATTATCAGGAATGCCAGGTCGATTGTAAAAGTAGAGCTAAAAATATGAGGCATGTGAATTGGCGTTTTGAAAGTTTATATTGGAAAGAGGAGGTAACTAAACTTGGGCGGGGTAGTTGCGACCATTTTTAAATTTTTGGAAAATATTTGAGTTAAGACTCCTTGGAATCCATGCATTTAAGGTATATAGTGTCTTTCGAAAAACCTCGGGGTTATATATCATATCATATCACGGTATATATCATTTTATACGTCAAAATCGTGTCTCATCTAAATAACCATATTAGACCCTAGGTCTCTTTGGACCGAATCCATTTCAGGACATTTAGGGATATCGGTATGGCTGGTGCGCACGAAGGAAGTATCCGATTTGGTCAAAGCTTGGTACATCGTAATATTTTTGTCGAACTTAGATCAAGTTCGGAGATGAGCAATATCGGTCTCCTCCTTCTGGTACCTCACCAACAACAGGTCGAAATTTTCAAAAAAAAAAAAAAGATTTTACTGCACAGAAACAGAAAGGATAATTCGATCTTGCTACAACTTTGCAAATCTTAATATTTGTCAGGTGCGAAAATGGACAATAAAAAACGCGAAATGAAAATTCGATTCAAATCTAACTTGGCACATCTTAATATTTCTTTCAACACAAGATCTGTTATAAAGATGGTAAAGATTGGACCATTCCTTCTGGAATCTCCCCCACATAGGGTTCAAAATTTTGAAAAACAAATCGTTCAAAGACATCGAAATAAGCACCCAATTATCTTCCAATTTCCTAAATACATACAAACATTTCTGTTATGATATATGATATATACAGGGTGAGATGAAAAAACTGCAACCAACTTCATGCTGCTGTCATTTCTAAGCCAATCGTCCGACAGCTGTTCAAATTATTTTATTATATGGCCGAAAAATGGCTCGTAAGCTGAACATATCGCAATATTCCATTCGCAAATATTGAAAAATAAGCTCGGGATGAAGCCATTGAAATTCCAAAAAGTGCAAGAATTTACACTGCAACAGAAAGAAAATAGATTCAAAAGAGCTAAAGAGTTGCTTCGCTTGGCCGAAAGTGGTGAACTGCCAAATTTGGTTTTTTCCGATGAGAAAACATTCGTTGTCCAGCAGCTGGTAAACAAACAAAATTATCGTGTTTACTTGCCAAAGAGGTCAGCTGAAAATGTGCACCTTCGGTTGGCCACCAGAACTCAAGCGCCGGCCATGATGATGGTGTGGGCCCCCATAACTGCCGATAATCGTTTTCCGCTCGTATTAATCGACCGTGGCATCAGAATAAATACCGAATATTATTGCGAAAATATTCTGGAGGGTGTATTAAAGCTTTGGGCAGGCAATCATTTTGGCCGCAAACATTCGGACATTCTAACAGGACTCAACACTCAGAATGGTTGCAAAATGAGGTTCCTCGCTTAATTTCCAACGCACGATGGCCACCAAAGTCTCCGGATACCAATCCGTTGAACTATTGTGTCTGGAGTATTTTGGAAGACAAGGTTGACACTAAAAAATATCAAAGTCTCAATCACCTCAAGCAAGCGCTTAGCCGGGAAAGGGCCAAAATACCGCAGAGCAACATTCGGGCAGCTTGTGACGGTTTCATTGGTTATTTGAAGGCCATAATTCATGCCAATGGTGACCAATTCGACCAAATCTAAACTTATTCTAAATTTTTATGCTATTTCCAACTATTTTTTGCTTTTATTAAATAAAATTAAAAATAAAAAATCAAAAGTCGGACAGGGCCGACTATATGATACCCTACACCACTATGCATATTTAGTAGAGCTCCCGTAACAAAACGTACGTACCGAAATTCACCCCATTTTGGCTGATATTAGCCATTATTTGCACAACAAACCTGAAATAGGATTAAGGATATATATGCGAGCTATATCCAAATCTTAGTCGTTCTCGATAAAATTTAGCAAAAGTATTTCTGACCTCTATAAGATATCTTGTACCAAATATCATGGTTGTTGAATACATATTACGAATATGAGGGACTTAAACACCAAATCGGATGAAACATATATATGGCAGCTATAGCAATATCTGAATCGATTTTCTCCAAATTTAATGTACTTGCTTGTAGACTGAATTCGGTCGGATGTACCAAAATTCAGGTAATTAGGACTGATATTGCCCATTTGGCGCACAATTTACCCGAAATCAGTTGAAGATATATATGACAGCTATATCCAAATCTAATCCAATCTTGATAAAATTTGACAGAGGTATTTCCGAGCTGTATAAGATATCTGGTACCAAATATCATTGTAGTCGAATGCATATTACGCATATGGAGGACTTAAAAACCAAATCGAATAAAAGATATGCTATATGGAGCTATAACTACATCTAAACCAATTTTCACCAAATTTGAAGCACATGCTTGTTGGCTGAATTCGGTCGGATGTAGCAAAATTCACACCTGATATTAGACATTTGGTGCCCAATAAACCTAAAATCGTATGAAGATATATGTGGGAGCTACATCTAAATTTGGATCGATTTTCACAAATTTCAATAGGGTTCATCCTTGAGCCAAATAAATGTTGTTTAGAAAATTTCAACTCCATCGAATAATAAATGCGACTGCATTTTGTTTACAAAAATACATGGACAGACGGACGGACATGCATAAATTGACTCAAAATGTGATTCTATGCTGATCACCAAGAGGAAGTATGGGTCTATCTTGTTTCCTTCTCCATGTTACAAACAAATGCACAAAGACATAATACCCTTACCACTATGTGGTTTAGGGTATATTTAAAAATTGTGGCGTTTGACTTTGTTGCGGTTTTTTATCATTCCTGTACTAAGCTAAAAACACTACAATGCGAATGTAAGTTTATGTCCAAATTTCTGCATTCCAGCTATATCGTATCATTAGTACCATTTAGTACTATTAGTGCACATTAGTACAAATTTCGAAAACTACCTCCATATCCCAATCCTACACTCCGCCAGTAATGTTATTTTAGGAATCCAGCTTCATCCATTCCACCAAATTCAAATTGAACCAAATTTAGTACCGTTTAGTACTTTTCCTGAACATGATTACACCCTTCCAATTATAGCTCCCTTCATCGACCCTACTACTCAGTAGTAGTAATTTTTCTTATAGTGTGAATTCCCCTTCGGTACATCCATTCTACATTCCATCAGGGATCCTAATTCCAAATTTAACAGTTCTAGCTCTACTGGTTCGTCAATTAAAAAGGTACCTTTTAGTACTTTTCATGCCATTCTAGTACGAACGTCAGTCAGTCATAAAGTGGTTAGTCAATCGCTATATTTTTATACGCTACACCACAAGGTGGTCAGGGTATTATGTCTTTGTGCATTTGTTTGTAACAGGCAGAAGGAAACGAGATAGACCCATAGTTCCTTTTGATGATCTGCATAGAATCACATTCTGATTCGATTTATGCATGTCCGTCCGTCCGTCTGTCCGTCTGTCCATGTATTTTTGTAAACAAAGTACAGGTCGTATTTATTGCCCGATCCAGATGAAATTTTGCACAGATCATTTGTTTGGCTCAAGGACGAACCCTATTGAAATTGCAGATAATCGGTCAAAATTTAGATATAGCTCCCATATATATCTTCGTCCGATTTGCCTTTTATTGTGCACCAGACGTGTAATATCAGCCCGAATTGTATGGAATTTTGCATATAGACCCAAATTATGCCTGAAAATATGTATGCCAAATTTGATGGAAATCGGTTCAGATATAGCTATAGCTCCCATATATATTGTTCATCCGATTTGTTATTTTTGTCCACCGCCGCCGTAATATGCACTCTGCAACAACAATATTTGGGGAAATATATCAAATACAGCTCAGAAATACCTTTGCCAAATTTTATTGAGATCGGTTCAGATTTGGATATAGCTCCCATATATATCTTCGTCCGATTTACTTTTTATTGTGCACCAAACGTCTAATATTTGTCCAAATCGGATGGAATTTGGCACTTACGACCGAATTGAGTCTAGAAGCTAGTATGTCAAATTTGGTGAAGATCGGTTCAGATATATCTATAGCTTCCATATATATTATTCGTCCGATTTGTTATATTTGTTACCCACAACCGTAATATGCACTCCGTAACAACGATATTCAGGGAAATATATCAAATACAACTCAGAAAAATCTTTGCCAAATTTTATCGAGATTGGTTCAGATTTGGATATAGCTCCCATATATATCTTTATCCGATTTCAAATTAATTGTTCACCAAATGGGCAATACAATTCCGAATTTAAAAGATGCAAATGCTTCGGCATATTTAGTCCTTTGAACTTTAAATTATAATTATAATCATAGCGTGTATGATCGAATTCTCCCATAAAAACTTTTAATTGTTATGTGGAGCTCTACTAAATTAGCAAAGTGGTGTAGGGTATCATAAAGTCGGCCCCGCCCGATTTTAAGACTTTCTTTACTGGTTTTATATTAACACAGATTAAAACATTTCTTTAAAACTCAATTTGCAAGATAATTTGCAATAATTCCACAACTGAAATAACAACCCTCGTATCGTATCATGCCAAGTAATTTACTGTGTTTTTTTCAAATTTGTTTATTTTTAAAGTGAACCACGAATGCTTACCCTTTTTATGATCGCTCACTCGCTATTCCCAGTGACTTTTTATAAATATTGAAACAATTAAAGTGGGTTGTTTGTTTTTTTTTTTTTGTTTATTAGTTCGTCTTTCTTTATTATTATGATTGTTGTTGTTGTAGATGTTTATTCAAATGTTCGTTTTGTAGTATAAATTTAAAAACTATAAATATATATAAACTAAACTATAAAAAATAAGAAAAAAAATTGTTTGCACTAAAAAATATTGAAATTGTCGTTTAAGAAGTATAGCAGGCAAAATTTAAATTATTTTAAAATAATAATAAAATAAATGACAAAAAAATATATATAAATATTAAAAAAATAAAAATAAAAGAAAGATCCTAAAATTGTGTTATTTTTTCATAGAACTAAGATTTTTGTTAGAAAAAAATTCTCTAAAGTTGTGGGGTTTTTTTGAGTTGGCGCTTAAACTAAATGCAAAATAATTGAAATAAAAAAATTGAAATTAAATAAAAAAATATTAAATGCTTTCTGTCTTGTTTAATTAAATAGCAACTAATGAAAAATGGAAATATAAGTTACAGAAATTAATGTGTTGGAGGAGAGGGTGGATCTAGTTCTGTTTTGACGAATTGCAAATCTGCAGAACTTTTATGTTAAATTCTTTAATGATTGTCTTCAATTCGACTGGCTTGTTTGACATTCGCCATACAGAACCTTATATCTCTAAAATCATTGATTTTATTTTTTTTTTGTATTTTTTTCTTTACTTTTTTCTATTTTTTTCAATAATTTTGTTTTAAATTCTATATAAAAAAAGAACTATATAATAAAATTGCTAAAATTATTTGATTGCTTAATCAATGATCACAACTCTTATTACAAATATAATTATGTAGTTTATTTTTATTATTATTATTAAAAAAATAATATTTTTTTCGTTATATAGATTGTCTTTTTTATGCGTTTTGTTTGTTGCTGTTGTATAAATATGGTAAATATAAATCATGCCGTATATATGTTTATATATTTTTATTTCATTTTTTTGTATTTTCGAAAATATAATAATAATATTTTTTGAATATTTATTATTATCACTTTTCAAAGTGTTTATATCCCTCACAATACTCATATGTTTGTATGTATGTGTGAGTGTCGTTTTCTTGTAATTTACAAAGAAGTAGTTGCTACTCATCTATGATTTACATGGAATTTGTATTTTTGTAAACCTTTTTTTAGAAAATATTGGTCTTATCAAAAATATTTTTCAAAAATTCATTATCATTTTTCAGTTTTTTTTAGTATTATCGCCACACACTTCTAGTTTAAGATTACATTTAAAAAAATATTATCTTTAATGATTGGCAGAGTTTTTTTTTTTTTCAAAGGCAGATACTCTGAAGGCAGCTCACATAGTAATCTGGAAAAAAGAAGAAAGAAAATGTGGAATTTTAGTAACATATTACATCACTGATGAACTTGAAATCAAGGTTTTCAAAAAAATATTGTTATTATACTAGGGTTCATATCTACAAGTGCTACTCAATCATAAAACAAATAAAAAACGGCGGCAAGTCGAAAATTATATAGCCAAATTGACTGGAAAATTCTAAAAAAATTAGGAGTCTCGTTACGACATATCACAAAAAAAAAAACAAAAAGAAATAGATTAAAAAATCCTGATATAGTGCTCAACTCATTTCGAACCCACGAGGGGCTAGGCAAGGACCTTTAAACCTCCAATATCTGGGGTATTGCTTTTAATGGGGAACTATTCCAAAACCTGGACCTATAAGATTGGAGGCCCATTACTTTTTTTGTCTTGAAAAAAAAAAAACAAGTAAAAAAGCTGTAAGTTCGCCCCGGGCCGAACTTTGAATATCCTCCACCATTTGGAACGAATTTGGCAATTCTCAAAAACATTAAAATCTTTTAAAAATTATGTTAAAATCCTAAAAATACCGAATGTAGCTATTATTTTAGGATCTATACGATGACATCGACGTTCATAGATAACTTTTGCCATAAGTCATCACAATATTCAAATGCGAAACTTAAAAAAATCGGTGAAAATGTCGCCAAAATCACAAAAATACCGAATATCGGGAGGTACCGTTATATGGGGGCTATACAAAGACGTGGGCCTGAACAGACAATTTTCTGTCTTAGGCTGTAGTATCCATTTCGAATTTCAAATACCAAATTTGAAACAATTCCGGTGAATAATGTAGCTCAAATCATCAAAATACCGAATATCGGGAGGTACCGTTATATGGGGCTATACGAAGACGCACAGACAATTTTCTGTCTTAGGCCGTAGTATCCATTTCGAATTTCAAATACCAAAATTTGAAACAACTTCGGTTAATAATGGCGATAAAATCATCAAAATACCGAATATCGGGTGGTACCGTTATGTGGGGGCTATACGAAGACGTGGGCCTGAACAGACAATCTCCTGTCATAGGCTGTTGCATCCATTACGAATATCGAATACCAAATTTGAAAGAATTCTGGTGAATAATGTCGCTAAAATCAACAAAATACCGAATATCGGGAGGTACCGTTATATGGGGGCTATACGAAGACGTGGACCAGCACAGGCAATTTTATGTCATAGGTTGTAGCATCCATTACGAACATCAAATTCCAAATTTGAAACAATTTCGGTGAATAATGTCGCTCATAAAAATACCGAATATCGGGAGGTACCGTTATATGGGGGCTATACGAAGACGTAGATCTGCATAGACAATTTTATGTCATAGGTTGTAGCATCCATTACGAACATCAAATTCCAAATTTGAAACAATTTCGGTGAATAATGTCGCTCATAAAAATACCGAATATCGGGAGGTACCGTTATATGGGGGCTATCCCAAAACGTACATCTACATGGCCCATTTTCAATACCAAAAGTCCTGCAGACATAATATAAATTTGAGTAAAATTTTATCAATCTACTTTATTTCATGCGGAAGCTAGAGTGATTTCCACAGATGGACGGACATCGTTACATCGACATAGAATTTTATGCTGATCAAGAATATATATAAAATGTATATTTCGAGGTGTTACAAACGGAATGACAAACTTAATATACCCTCCATACCGGCTACTTACAAGAAGTATCATATATATAAACCTTTGCTTAGAGTTAGCCGGTGTGGGACATACTCAGAGAAGAAAATCTCAAGCCCTAGCCGAAGAACTGCCACTTGCAAAAAGTATCAAATTTAGAAAACTTTGGTTCGTATTAGCCAGGGAAAATCTCAACCCCCGGCTCTCAACCATCATCATTTTAATGAACTAATTAGACAGGTTATGCAGGTTCCAAGACCCATATCTCTGGACCCAGAATACATAATTGTAGCCTTTTGAGAAAGTAAGAGTGTCAACTATAATTTGACATTAATTTTGTAGACTTCCATAATGGGTCCTTTTTTGACTAATTGGGGGTTTAATCTAAAATCCGTGTCCGAAAAATCGATAACTTTGCTATAACTTCCGAATACCTTTAAATAAATCGATCATGTGACATTTTGGATAAGCATATTCATAAGCTTTCAAACGATACCTATTCTAAGCCGGGTATTGCATCCGGAAATTCAGGTAAAAAATCAGGGGTGAATAGTTTCTTCTGGTACACCAAACGCTCGAAGTAAGCCAAAGAAGCTTTCAACTCTCTTCAAACTTCAAGAAACTTCTCCTCTTGTATTAAAGGTAAAGGCTGAAAGACAAGCGTTTTTCTCGATTTTCGTATCATCGATTTTTGTGTGAGGTTACTTAGTGTAAATTTCTTTCAAAATTTTATTTACAGAAGTTCTAATTTTTCATTATCGTGAAATATTTTACAAACAAAATTCTATGCTCTGAGTCATATACATATTTTTACAAATATTTCAAATGTTTGAAATAATTTTAAAAACACAAACACCGACCAATGGTCAAGTTCACTTTCATTAAAAAATGTTTTATAAGACGCTAATTTGATGGTTTCCGAAAAACACTTAGACAACAACAACAGCAGCAAAACATAAAGCAGCGAACGAATTAAAAGAAACTTACAACAACAACAAAAAACTAATAATAACCGCGATAACTAGTCGAGTTTTAATTTATTTTTAATTGAAGCTATATGTGTGCAGGGCAATAGGGATGACATGATTTGAATTGTTTTTAAGATTTTTTAAAATTTTTTTTAAATACCTAATTTTATGCGAATTATAATTTGGAATGACAGCGCCGATATGAGTGTTTTAAAGATTTTTTTTTAAATTTCTAAAATTGTTATTTTTTTAATTTTAAAGATTAAATACCTAAATTTATGCGAATTAAAAAATATATTTTTTGGCAAAATAATAGAGGCAGAATATGTGTCAAACGAACGCGCCCTTCTTATTAGATGTTCTTATGATTCGGAACGTGGTTATGGCACTACTGTAGTCATAATTCATTGCTCTTTTACCTAATTCTCGTGGTTATATTTGTCGCGATTTTTTTTTTTGAAATTTTATTCAATATCCCAAATTTTGTGTTTTTTTTTCTTTTATTGACATCCCTACTGGGGAATCGCCTCCAGTTACCACAAAACACGAAAAAAATATATTTCTCATGGAATTCTTAATGCCGCTATGCCATGCTTATTTTACGGTATTTTTCATTACGAATTAATTATTATTGCTATTGAGCTCAACGTAAACAATTGTTTTTTTTTTTTTTTGTCAAGAAACGACGAGGAAGTTATGTGGTGCTGTTGAATTATGAAATATTTAATAATCGAACGATATTGGCGAGAGAATATTTGTAAAAAGATCGTTGTCATGGAAAATACTCAGAATAGAGGGATATAATTAAGGATTTTCAATAAAAATGAGATAAGGGGAGTATAACAATTTCAGATAACTCACTTATCCCTAAATGTTCTCTCGAGGAGTGAAATTCCTCTTGGACTTAACGCTACAAATAAATAACTATTATAATAAAATTACACTATGCAACACAATAAATAATTACAGGGAAAATTGTGCAAATTATGAAAGTAGAGCTAAAAATAGGAGACACATGTATCGACATTTCGAAAGCATACATCGCAAAAAGTACCCAAAACAATTAACCCTTTCTTCCACATTTTTAAAATAAAATGAAGCTATTGGACCTGGACATATACAGGGTGAGATGAAAAACTGCAACCAACTTCAGACTACTGTCATTTCTAAGCCACTCGTCCGACAGCTGTTAAAATTATTCCAGTGACAGCACATTATATTTTTTAAAAGCGTACAAAAGCATTTTGGTCAGAATTTTCCAGAAAAAAAGTTGTTCGTGATGTAATTCAAGCGTGATAGTGTGATTTCTTTGGACGGAAGAAAACAGCAACACCAGTAGAAATGGTTCGAAAAGTAAAGAAGCGACTTGATCGAAACCCGCGTCGCAGTGGCCGAAAAATGGCTCGTGAGCTGAACATATCTCAATTTTCCGTTCGGCAAATATTCAAAAGTGAGCCATTGAAATTCCAAAAAGTGCAAGAACTTACACCGCAACAGAAAGAAAATAGACACAAAAGAGCTAAAGAGCTGCTTCGCTTAGCCGAAAGTAGTGAACTGCCGAATTTGGTTTTCTCCGATGAGAAAACATTCGTTGTCCAGCAGTTTGTTAACAAACAAAATGATCGTGTTCACTTGCCAAAGAGATCAGCTGAAAATGTGGTGATGGTGTGGGCCGCCATAACAGCCGATGGTCGCTCTCTGCTCGTATTTATCGACCGTGGCATCAGAATAAATGCCGAATATTACCACGAAAATATTCTGGAGGGTGTATCAAAACGTTGGGCACCCAAACATTTTTGCCGCAGACCTTGGACATTCCAACAGGACTCAGCATCATCGCACAATGGCCACCAAAATCTCCGGATACCATTCCTGTGTTTGGAGTATTTTGGAAAGCAAGGTTGACACTAAAAAATGATAAAGTGTCGATCACCTCAAGCAAGCGCTTCGCCGGGAATGGACCAATATACCACAAAACAAAATTCGGGCAGCGTGTGACAGTTTCATTGGCCATTTGTAGGCCATAATTCGTGCCAAAGTTGACCAATTCAAACAAATCTAAACTTATTCTAAAATTTGATGCTATTTCCGACATTTTTTGCTTTTATTCAATAAAATTTAAATTAAAATTATGGCATTTTACTTTGTTGTCAAATTTGTAGGGTGTCATATAGTCGTCCCCTCCCAACTTCTGACCTTTCTTTTTTCTTTTAAAATATTTTTTCGTGAATTAAAGAAATATTTTTCCGAGTATTTTTTTAAGTTATTTTAATTTGGGGAGTTTAAAAAATATTTTTTTATGAATTGTTAATTTTTAGGAATACTTTAATGGCTACCAAGATTATAATTGAACATTTGTTTTAAGGACGAC